GTTTATAAAGTTGTATAAATAGCTCACCTAGTTTATTGGGTTAGTTTATTGGGTTGTAATTATTGGGATTTTGTAAGCCTTAACACTCGACAGGTTGTTGAGTGTGGCAGTAATACCTCCGATTTAGGAGTATGCTTCCGCAATTATATTTAAAGGTTGTCTATTTTTCCTTTATTTCTGATTTATTATTAGTTAGTAAATCGGGGGTGTTACAGGTTTGGTTCAGGTCAATAATTTACGGGTTACATTCGGGTCGGGTCATCTTTAGGTCAATTAATGTTCGAGTTCGGGTCTCACATACTCGGGTCAACTCGGGTCTAGGGTTGGTTTCAGGTCGTGTTTGGGTCACCAGCTTCGGGTTCAGATGGTTCGGTGAAAAATCGGGTTCAGATGGTTCGGTGAATAATCGGGTTTGAGTTGGTATTTTGGGTCGAGTCAACTTTTGATAGCTCTAGTTCCATCAAGATTACCCTGAGTTGCATAAACTCTTAAAATGCATGTTCCAGTAACTCATGCATCTAGTATATTGGCTACCTAGTACCAACTTACAATTTGAGTTTTATTTGAAATTTAACCACTGTGATGAAGTGATGTGACTTAACTAAAAACCAACCTAAACAGACACAGAACAAGGCCTTTACCATCAAAATTATGAATCATAATATGCCATATGCAGTAATGCACTACCAAACTGTCATTGCCAATTGGGTCACGAGAACACAACAGACACATGCATCACTATCAAAGAAAGGTAATTAGATCTTCGATGGTGCATATCACAGATGGCATCAGAAAAGAAGCAACTACCTAGAGATCAAACTTTTCAATTCCGTAAGAGATGACGCACTATATAATGTTAATATTGTTAATGGAAAGGGATTGAATTCTTGTGGGCAATACGAACTTACAGAACCAGGATAAAGGGTAAGATTTAATTATAAAAAAGTAAAAAGCATGTCTAACCTTTCCTGACGAAATATTGACCATGTGAACATTATGATCCTTCGACCCAGTCAAAACTATAGCCGAGTCAGGGCTTATTGCCATGCAAGTTATTCCATCAGTATGATAAGGGTGACCTGGATCAAAAAGCTAAATCCATCAGTGAACTTCCCCTAAGTTTTAAAGGATGAATAGCATGAAAGACAAAGCCCAATCAGATCATGCTCAAAATATCAGCATAAGCATCTGGAGTTTGACATTGTGAAAGATACACAAAACTACAAAAGTATCAGTTAAAACTTATAATTGAATATCAAAGTAAGGAGAAAACAGGTGTCTTTCTAATACATTTTCTTTAAAAAAAATTCACTAGAACTAAATTGTCTCGTATCTTAACACATTGTTAGAATACAGCTAAATACATGCTACTGTTAGTGTGTTAACTATGATTACTGTTTCTGCTTCATTGTTCCCTTTACTTTATGTCCTTATTCACTATAAAGCCAAGCTTAAGGAGGATTTAGAGAGACATTGCTTTTACTGGTCTGTATCTCAACTCCTTGACTAGCTAGAAAGCTGCTAAAGTACTTCCTTCCCTTCTTAAATGCCCTCAATAAAGTGATTACATTGACTACAAACTTTCCTATTCTTTCCTTGGTTTGATTAGGCTGCATTATACAGACAAAATTTCAAGATACTTATCATTGATTAACCTAGCACAATTTGCACCTGAGAATTTCTAAAATATTTTTACTGATATGGGGGGACTAATTCAACAGTTTTTCCATCCCGGTATTCTCTCAATTGTGTATGGAAGTCAGATCCGATGACAAATAAGTGAATAACAATAGCATTACCAGCTTAGTGACACAGATCAACACAATTTTTCACATTAAACTTTCAGGTGCAACTAGCAACATGATGCAGATATTCAAGAAAGAAATTGGAGCCTCTTAAATGGTACAGTTTTTTTTTTTTTTTTTTTTTTTTTTTTTTTGATATCTCAATATTGAAGCACATTACCTATAATGCAAAATCCAACGCATACCCACACAGCCACACCAGCTTTGACAAAAAAAAAAATAAAAAAATAAAAAAAGTCATTATTTGCTTCAAGCCTTCGATGCAAACTATGGACTGTGGAGCATAACAAACATATCACTCTCTCTATAGTGTTGTAGCTACTTCAGTTTTGCTTGCTCATACTTTAGGGTTGATATGTTAGAAGATAAAGAAGTCATAGCAATATAGCATACCTTTAATTTCATGAATGTTCTCGCCACTTTTTGGATTCCATATCCGCAATGACGCATCATCCGATCCCGTGCATATTGTTTTTCCTTTAGAGCACAGATTAACAGAATTTCAGATAACATTTCGTCTTAGAAGAGCCAGTTCTTTAAATAAAAAAGCCTCAAAATATATGAGTATTACCATCAGGGGTGAAGTCACCACAAGTCACTACACTTCCATGACCACTAAACATGCTAAGGTAGGCACCCTTGTCAGCATTCCACATCCAAACAGAGAAATCCTCTGACCCAGCTAAGACAAGATGTCCCCTAGGATGCCACCTAACCCACTGAAAAATCACACATTTCATTATAAATAAATTATATAGGCCAAATATATGCCATCACATACATCTTAAATTATAATACCTCAATTCCACCTCCTGGTCCATCAAGAGTGTACTTCAGTTTCTCTGAAGAAACATCCCAGACGTGAACAATTCCATCAAAGCTTCCAGATGCAAGCAACTGCCCATCAGCACTGAAAGAGACACTGGATACTGTCTCTTTATGACCTGGCAAAAGCACAAAATTTTTAGCAAAAAAACAACCATGGATTCACTACAAGCTCTGTACTGGTAAAAAAGCAAATAACATGCAAATCAATCAAAACAAACGAGTTTACCTTGGAGTTCGAAAGCCCAATCTCCTCGACCAATTCTCCACATAAAACCCTTGTCATCACCACCCCCTGTTGCAACTAATGTTGGATCTGTCGGGCTGCAGGCAACCGTGTATACTTCATCTATCCAATAAAGAAGGAAGTGTTAAGACAATAGCAAGCAATAGTTTGTCTAGCATATGTGTAGACCAATCAATCTATGCTAACTTTCATCTAAATTTCTCAGCAATTATGGAAACCCCCAACCTTGCAACTTCTTTGACTAATTTCCCCATTCAAATCCTAATAATTGGTCATTCTTAGAATGCAACACAGCCACAATAACATTATGAAATCCTTTGCATCAATGTAATTAATTTTATTATGGCATATTATAGTTGGGGGACTCGTGTCTTACGACGAGAGGAAAGGCATACTCTCATTTGGACTCAATCTTTCTCATTTTTCTTCTACATCACCAACATTGCTCACTAAAGGACATGCCATAGATAATCCCCAAGTAATTAAGCGGAGAATAATTTGTATCCCCAACCCCACCAAAAAATAAATCACAATGCTTACCAACTTTTTGAAATTTATAAACATTAAAAATAAAAGTTGTAATTTAAGCAACTTACAGAATCTTGCTGCAATATTGACATTAGAGCTATCACATGTCGGTTTCTTTCTTTTTTTTTTTTAATTTTTTTTAATTTTTTTTTTTTTTTTTTTTTTAAGATTAAATAATCTGAACTTTGACATTGAATAGAAAATTAAAGGAACATCAAGTGCAAATATTCAGAAATTTTCCAAACAAAACAACTCCAAGTCCAAGCAACAAGAATAAAAATTGCCAAAATTCAGAAAGTTTAACAGTTGTACTAAATTTGCAGCAAAATACAAAGATCATAGCTTTACTATATACGAGTATTGCCTTAAAGTTTAACAATTGTACTAAATTTGCAAAAAATCAGAAAGTTTAACATAAAAAAATAAAAAGCACTATTATATTACTCACCAGTATGACCAGTAAATATATGCATAGAATCATCAGCTTCCTCTGCAATCACCCCATCAATACAACACTATTCGAAATAAGCACAATTTTTAAAAAATAAAATAAAATAAAATAGAAAAAGCTTTATTTTTTTTCCCAAAACTCTTCTTACCAATATGTTCATCACCATCAGAACCCTGTTCTTCATCTGCTTCAGGAAGCTCTGATTTTAAAACAGATAATACAAATTAATTGAACCCACAAAACAATGAAATTTAAAAAAAAAAATTCAATTGAATGAAATTTGACAGTAAAAGGGTGAAATACCTTCATCGTCAAAAGGGACTTCTTGGACGATATCAGATTCATCGAGAAAAATATCACCTTGTTCTTCAGTTTCTGGGTAATTATTTTGGGGATTCATTGTGTTTATTTGATTTTATAAATGGAATAAAAGATAGAGAAAGAAGGGTTTTTCAAAGGGTTTGAATGTTTTATACGATGCACTTCAGTTAAAAGCCAAGCCCACCAAAAGGAGATTAATTAAATATAATTGCTTTTTTTTTTTTTTTTTTCTTTTTTTTTTTTTTTACTTATGGAGTACTTCATTATTTTACGAAGCCACGATTCCACAAGCAACTACTACAATTTACATTTTATGACTTAAAGACTTAAAGTCAATAAACATGTCGAAAACCTTAACAATAATTTGGCTTTTTTTTTTTTTTTTTTTGAAAAACTTGTCTTAACTAATTGTGTTAGAGCTATTTTCAATAACCACACTTGCATATTTTTTTTTGGTGTTTTAGACTTTAAAGAGCCACAACTCCACAAGGGTAGGTAATAATGTAAATCGATCTTAAAATCTCTTAAAATCAGAAAAGAATTTCTAACCACTTGAGTTATCCCTCACTCTCACCACACATAACTCGAAATTGTATTATATTGTACGAAGTATAAAATAATATTTATACAATAAATTAATAATTAATTTATTATTCCCAGTCTATTGCAACGCCATATTGATATCAATTTATGTTTGGCTAAGTGAAGATTGCTAACTCATACCTTTATGCTATGTAAAGAGTATAGTTGTATTAGTTTCGGGCTGAAAATGAAAATCACAACTCTATTTCAACCTAATTAACAAACAGTTATGCCAACTCAAAAAGGCTGAAATTCACAACTCTATTTCACCCAATTCAAACAAAGAACATTAGTATCATTATTTAAGTACTGTGAATTGAAATAGTGATTGACAAAATTGCTTAAAGTTCCTACTAGGCCTAATTTTCACACTTTTTTATTGCCCCAAACAAACATCACCAACCTTGTGCAAGCACAGGGTCTAAGACTGCCAAAAACTAGAACAGGAGAAAGTATAGTTTTCTACACAAGACATACACTAGTTTCCAGGACTCTATTCTCTATAGCAAATATACAGTCGCCAAACGACGGTCATCAACAAAGGCTCGATTTTGAAACATCACATTTTCTTGTAAAACCACAACAACACTTGGTGATATACACAACCGGATGCATCTTCACTTCTCGAAGTCATATTGACAAAGTTAACCTTGCTTGCGCATTATGTCCTCATTCAAACGTTCACTGACAAAGGATTGTGAGTAACAACCTGATAAGCTCTTTCAGCATCATTACCAGTCCCTTCAACATGATTCACCTTACTATCTTGCTTAGTTAGTCCACCTTGATCTTGCTGTAAAGCAACCTGTTCCTGCTGCTGTTGCCTTGAATGATGATTCATCATGTGTAGCAAGAGCTCTTCTGGTCTCAAGTTACTACCAGAATTTTCTGAATTGTTATCCAACCTCTTGGATTTTATGTTGTGCAGTTGGTCAAGGAGGGGGAAGTAAGGACATGTTTTAGAATCAGCATGCCTCTGTTTGTTGCCGTCTTTCACTCTTCTGTAGTACTTGTTTATGTTCTCCCATTTCTCCTTACACCTTTTAGCATTTCGATCATAGCCGAAGTTTTTCATTGCCGTCGAAATTTCCTCCCACATAGGCCCCTTTGGACCTACTCTTTGGTATTCTAACTCCATGTTAGTTTTAATCTTTATCAAAGTTTCAACTTCTTCCTTTGGCCACCGTGAAGAGGAACTTTCACCATTATCTTTCTCTTTCCTACCCACAATGCTCATTTCTTGGCTCGGTTTTTCTAGCACTTGCTCAGAGGTTCCAGAAATCTTCCCTTGCTCTAAAACCTTCTGCAAGAATGCAATGGCTGCATCCTTTGCCGCTGATATTGACCTCTCTTGCATCAAAAGCTCCTGCTCCTTCTTAATCCTATCCATTTGCTGCATCTTCCATGCCTCTTCTCTTGCTTGTCTCTCATGCTCATGTTTATCTAGTGCTTCCAGAAACTTATTTTGCAGAGCCTCTTGTTTCTCAAGTACAGATTTCATTAGTATATCAAAGAAATCAGCCCACTTTCGTTTTTTTGTTCTAGCCCCTTCAGATTCACTTCCTGAATTAGAGGTAGTGGATGTTGAAATGGTGAAAGAATCCAAGTTCACTGATGTAGGCATTGTCATTTGGGGTACACATTGGGGGTGACTTGAGATTGGAGACACAACATATGCGGTGTCGTTCATAGAGGTATCCGCTGGCTCAGAAGCTGAAGTTTGGAAAGAACTCTGCTGGTGACCAAGAGCTTCTAACTGATCAAAAAACCGATATGCCTTTCGATTTGTACGATCATATGAGCAATTTTTCAGTCTCCTATGGTACTTGTATATATTCTCAAATTTCTCTTTACATTTTTTGGCACTTCTATGATATCCAAGTTCAGCCATTCTCCTGAAAACAAACAACATCAAAACTCCACTTTCTGCCAAAGCACCCAATTTAAACAACGAAACAGATGTACTGTGTGTACAGCATAGATACATAATCACAAATGCTAACTACTAATTTCGTACATTACACAAAGCAAAACAAACAACTCTACGAACAAGGAACACAAACTCATGCACGACCGACTGAAGGTCACCCAACAATCAAGTAAACGCCATCTTACCAATTAGTAGCAGTCACCAGTCACCCATCTAGTGTTAAAAGACATTCTAATAGAAATTGTAAGCCGAAACAAGAATACATCTTATTATATACTATTAGTCTATTACACCCCTCAATGTGTCTTAGTAGTCATTCATCTATCTATCAAAAAACGGTCAGCAATAAGCAAATTCACACAATTTCTCAGGCAGAAATTTCAATTTAATTAATGCTGCAAAATGTAACTTGTCACTATTTCCAACTACCCAAATATATTCCCCAAAATTACACACACATGTTCTCAATAATACAAAATTCATCCACGATCCCAAATAAATAATCACCATAATTTACAACTTAAACTTCAAATGAACACTCTCACAGTCTCACTCACTCAAAATTTTCCCTATCATCAGCTTACCAATAATTTTATTAATAGCTAGTTCGTATTTGCCTAAACTTGTGTCTCATATTTTACACAAAAATCATGCACAAGCAACCCAAAAACTAACAAACAAAAAAGTCACACAAACATTGTTGCAATAGCTACTAAAACCCGGGATCAAATCCCGTCTACATCATTGTCCACGGCGACACCCATGTAAAGCAATAAAACAGATACACAGACATTTCGACAACCAAAAATCACTAGACTAACACAAAAAATTGAACTTGACAGTAATATGTTATAGCTTTTGGTTGAGATGGTCCTTTAACAGAACTTAGTTTGATTGAATTGAAATTCATACCTAGAAATTTCATCCCAAAGTGGAGATTTAGACCCAGAATCTCGAAATGCAAAATCCATTTCAGACCTTATCCTAAGCAAAGCCATGGTTTCTTGCTGCGGCCATCTATTAGCTGCTGAATTTCTCTCAGCTACTGCAACTGCAAGCTCTGCAGCACCATTTTCATCTTCTTCCTCCTTATTTTTATCATTTTCTCTCTCCTCAACTTTCTCTGACTTACCCAACTCATTTTCCCGCCTATCTCCTGAAATTTCCACCATTTCTGAATTTCCCAGCTTCTGAAATTTACAGCCCAGAAAAAGTTTAATCTTTTAAGTTGGGTTTTTGTGAAAATTGAAGTGGGTTTTTTGGGTAAATTTTTTATTTATTTATTTTTATTGTTTGAGATTGATTATTAGGATGAAAATAAAATTGGGGAAAGAAGGGTGAAATTAGGGTTTATTCAAGTGTAAGAATAAGGAAAAAGAAATTAGGTGAGCATGATTTACCAGATTGTGTGGTAAGTGAAAGATGGGATGGTTAATATGTGTGTGTATGAGGTTAATTTAGACAATTTATTAATTTGGATTTGTGGGGCCAAAAATGGAAAAAAAATAAAAGTTAATTGGTCAATCATGTGGGCTTGACAATAAAAGATAAAGATTTAGGGTTGTAATGAAATGAGAAAATATCATAACATAGTTTATGGATAGACATGAGTAAGGAGGAAAAAAGTTTAAGCAAGTTGGCATACTTATGCAAGTTACATTTGTCTCATTGATTCTCTTGGTTCATGATTTTAGTCCCTTCAATGATAAGGGTGGCAATTCGGGTTAGCGGGTCGGGGTTGGGTTCGAGTTAGATTTTGGGTCGGTTTTGAGTTATGTTTAGAAACTATAAAAAAAATAGCGTAAAATTTAATATTATTATAAAATATGAAATTTGGGTGAAATCGAGTCAAATTCGGGTTGTTTGGGTTTGAGTCGAGTCGGGTCGGGGTCGGGTTCGGGTTTCTCTCAGTAACTTCGAGTTGGGTTATCGGGTCGGGTCAGGGATTGTCTGCCCTATTCAATGATGAGCATATTTTTAGATGTATAAAATTTTGGTTCATAATTATGATTTTAGTTCCTTCAATTATGGTGAGTATAAAATTTTTAATGTGTAGAAGAGCTATGCTATCTATGTATCATGTATGTACTGTTAAATTTTAAAAATATATGCAATAATGGTTTCATAAAGCAATAAAAAAAAAGTAAATAGAGTACATTTTTTTCCTTCTGTTTTTAGGTTATATTAAGTGAAAATTAAACCTCAATATTTGACTAAAAGAATAAATATTTTCAAATCTTTTACACTAAAAAAATTATAAATAAATTTTTAATTGATACAATTATGATTTTGTGTAATTAATGAAATCCTAAATTCACAAAAAGGCTTCTTCACCTTATTTTTGATACATCTTCGATCCCGTACAAATTTTTACTCATAAAACAACTATATAGCAATCCATGAAAATAAAAAAGCAGATCTTTCCTCAAAAGAGAGAAGAAGAACCTGGTCTTTCGAATGAGTCTAATCCTCCTAAAGAAGAAGAAAAACCTTGTCTTTTGAGGGATAAATGTTCCTCCTAGAAAAGGAAGAGTTATTATAAAACTATACTAGAGAAAAAGCACACATAAACGACAACAATTGGGGCTTTCCACCAATAAAAACCGGATGAAAACCCCACCAAAATTCAACAATGGAGGTTAGGGTTTCAGAGACAGGAAAGAGAGGCTAGGGTTCTGGATATGACTTGATCAACATAATGAAAAGATCCGTATTTTTTATACTTCTTTACTACTCTTATTATAACTAATATTACATTGAAAAAAGTAAAGTTTGTAAACACTTTTCGATTGTAATTTGTCAAAAACTTAATAAGGGTCTCTCTCTTGTAAAAAAGGACGATGAGATGATTAACCCATCAATTTGTTAGGTTAGTGAATGATATTTTCATGGAAATTCCCTTGTTATTGCTTGACAATTCTCTACTCAATTCACTTACATTTCCCTAACAAAAAGGCATCAAGTTTGGACGGTGTACGTAAATTTACAAGTTACATATTTGCTTGTTTTTACCAACAATTTGCAAAAAGTCTACTACTATTGAAGATAAAGAAGCCACCCTTTTAGGAATATGGACTTATTTTCATATTTTAACTACAGTAATATGCATGTTACTAGCTCATGCTTTCAAAAGGGAAAGAAAACTTGTGATATGCCAGTTTTTGATGTACGAAAAGTTTGAACTTTGAAGTATGAGTGATTAAATTTCGGCTGGTCAAATTTCTAAAAATCACTATCAAAACTAGTTGGCAATTTGGCAGTGTTCCAAATTCCCACTTCATCAATTCATTATTAACAAGTCTTAAATTTGCAACGTAATTACATTATGTTAATTACTTTGAGGTTATGAAATGAGGTTCTACTAGAGGCACTTTGGAGATAAATATTCCTTACATATACCCATCCTTTAAGTTAACAGGCTAAGTTGGCTCGAAGTAGACTTTGCATTTTCAAATGGTCTAACCCAAAAAATACTCGTACCACAACTAGTTTTCCAACAGCCATAAGAGCTAAATATAAAGTTTTTCAGCCTAAACGAGAAGGTTAACTGTAATAACACTAGCATTTGCCATATTGTTAAAAATGAATATACCCAGCAACTAACAAGAAGAAGACAAGACCTGAAATTACTGTAGTAAAATGATACGGAGTACATAGTATGAATTACAAGTACATGACCTGAAACATGTGAAAGTCGTAGAAATAGGCGTTTAAACAATCTATAGCTAAATATATCTATCATGTATTCATGTACAATACGAAGTTAGAAGTATAAGCTACTTGAACATCCATATCGTTCCAACTATTGGAATGAAGCTAAAGTTCTTCCCAATAATCAAAACCAACCTTAGTGCAATCACATTCATGTACAGCTGCATCAACAGCTCGACTCTTGTCCAGCCTTCAATATTATTATACAAGTAATAAAGTTCATGTAAAATCAGCCAAACTCATAATCTCCCTCTAGTTATCAACTCGTGTATACTATTTTAAGACGTACAGGGAACACTATCACATTTCCTAATATAAGAATGGATTATTATAAAAACCGAACATACCCAAATTTAATGGAGGTATGGAAAGAGCATGTAAAGCCATGACAAGATAAGAGTTGGGAGAAATGACTTAGTATGAAGAATGAATTTCAGGTGGAGGGAGTATATCCGACTGTAAGAAAAACCAAAGGAAAAATACTAGCTCTATAAATAATTTTCGTACAAGCTTATCTCAGAAACAAATTTCTGAACCCCCCACTGAGGTTATGTTTAGAACAGTATACCATGAAGATGAAAGATGCTTAAGAGAATAGGGACTCTTCAAACTCTTACTTAGGAGGCTGTCAATCATGCAACACATAGGGACTACAATGTACTCCTTTTACACTGATGGAAGGTTAACTTAATAAAACTAACAATGAAACGGTACTGTTCATAAATTCCCGAGGGATACCAGTGACAGACCAAGGGTAGTGAAGCAAATACTCTATGCCAGATGATGTTCTAGGAGAATATAGACAAAATCATGTATGGGAAGCAAAAAAACAGTTCTGTAAGAACCTAAATTTTCCAAGGTAGTCAGTCACAAGCAGTCATGTAAAAGCACCAGATTAGCATTTGATTAGATGTAGTCGAACAATTTAGTTAATGATGTACTTTATTACATTGTTAAATTATGGTCAACAAATCCTCAAGGGTTTTTTCAAGTGCTGGATGTCTTGGGCATATTATCATAAGAAATAAAAACATACTTTCGTGATTTGCTATATCACCAATTACATTCTGGTCCTACTTTATAGCTGCATTAAACGTCTTGGAGTAGTAGTGTAGCCTCCTTAGGTGGTTGCTTCTGAATTTTCAGAATCTTGCTGTTGTTTCCACTGCTCGGGTGTCAAGGCTTTCTTTATCGACAAAGCATGGATCTCTTGCATCTCTTTCTCGAGTGCAGCATTAACCATCCGATGCCTCTCCAGTATTCTCTTGCCCTCAAATTGTCCTGAAACTATTTCAACAACAAAGCTTGCACCACACCTAGATTCAGTAAAAAGAGACATGTCAATAAATTCTTTTCTGATATGACGTGCCAAAAAAAGAATTGTGTATTACAAAAACAAGACATGATCTTGAGACTTACCCTCCAGAGGTATCAACTACTTCCTGCAGCATGGGAAAAAAAAAAAAAAAAAAAAAAAAACCAGTCAGAGAGTAAGTATGATTCTGATTGAATTCCCTAACAAATCAAAAAGAGCCGCATAGATAAACAGTCAAGCACCCCCTTCTCGAATTGTAAGTCTAACCAAGCTTTGTAATAAAAAGGCTAACCAAGTATTGTAAGTCTAAGTAATATAGGTTCACAGTGCAAATTGCAAAGTCACTGCTCCCTTTTCGAATTTTGTTTATCTTGTTTCATATATCTGAATTATACCTTGTAAATCACATACGTAGTATATATATTTTTAACAAAACTATATGGATGTACTGCTTACACAAGAAGATACTAGTTACTTCCTAACAACACAACACAAAATCCCAAAAAATTCCAGCAACATGAATGCATAATCCACAAAACTTACATCTCCAGCATAAATGATAAAAACCATAAACAATAGAATTTCTTACAGATGTCCTAAGTGAACCAGATAAGAGCTCAACAGGTTTGAATAGGTATGACAAATTGACTAGAGATAAACTCTTTCAATGATGTGCAACTGATTGAATCTTTCGGTCACAATTTTTAAAAACAATAAGTAATACCCGAAAAGGAACAAAAGAAGTCCAAAAACACTTTTTAGATCAAACTCGATACTAATCACCTATGTTACTCCGACTCGTATTTGAGTGTCATGACTAATCACAAAAAAAAAAGGCATGATTCGAGACTAGCAACTTATTCTTCACCTAGTCAATGTAGCTTAATGCAATGCATTTGTTGAATTCCCAATTCAAAATTTTAGCAAAGTAAGAGTACCCATTTCCTCACCTTAGTGTAATAGACACCACCCAATGATTATATTGCTAAAGTTTCCCTATTACACTAATTACAGTAATAATACAGAAACTCCTATGAAAAATCTATGATCAGTCAGTCCAACCATCTCAACCCAAATTCCCCTAATTTAGAGTAGCCTAATTTAGAATTTGATTTTAAAAAAATTAATCATGGCAATCAAATGGCATAGTTTGTTTAAATAAAAGCCCTAAAAACACAATCTTTTTGCAACCAAACAGTTCTAAGTCTTAACACAGTCCAAGTAGAATTTGCTACTTCTTCATGACATATCATACCAATTACCATCAATTCAAATTGCTAAAATTCATCAAATCATATACGAAGTATATTTAATTATTGCTAAAATTCATGAAATTATAATTAACAATAAAATAGTAAGAATTGAAGAAATAAAAATAAAAGGTAAGGGAAATTACGAGATGAACAGGGCTGAGTTTAGACGTGAGAGAAGACTCAACTTCCTCCTTTGTCACCCCCATTATCTCTCTCTTCGCTGCTGCTTAATTTTTTTTTTTTTTTTTTTTCCTGTTTTGTTTCAAAGATCAATTATAAATGCTTAAGCTTTTTCTTGCAATGTGCATAATTATGCGTAATTCCTACGCTAAAGCCCACTGTATTATATGGATCAGCCCAATCATCTTTTCTGTAGATTCATTTCGAATAGATTCTGGGTATTCATGATTTGGACGTCCTCTCTCACATTTAATTCAGAGCTGTCAAAGCGGGTTTACGGTCAATTTCAGATCAGTTGTAATTGGATTGGGTCGTATTGGATATTTGTATTTATATAAATCGAATGTTAAAAAGTTTATTTTTTTTTTGAGTAAGTTTGGTAGATATTAAAAGGGCATGTTTTGATTACTGAAAACAAATGAACTGAACTGAACTGAACTTATTGAAATTGAAGTGAACTGAATAGAGCTTAAATGAATTGTTTATGAGAGAATGAAATTAGAAACTAGACTGAACTGAAATTAAGCTGAACAGAACAGATATCAAGTCATAGTTTAGCTCTGCGTGTGTTGATAGGAAGGTTTTTGTAAATCGAATTGTTTATAATGAAAAAGAGATCTTGATGAATAACTTATAAGCAAATTTAAAAATTTTTGTGTAAGCAAATTTATATTTTGTAGATCTTTGCACTATACACTTAAAATTTTCGTGCATAACTTTAAATGATAATTAGTAAGGTATAGACACAATTAGTACTTCGAGGAAAGTCGAAAGGTTTGCAATCAATGTTTGGGCTTGCAAACAAATTCCGCAGACAATGAAATGATATCTACAAAGCATTGTATTTGTGAATCAAAATAATACATGTACAAGAAGTGAATGCTAGCCCTGCACACTTGAAAATTCTCACTTCCATACTTTTGTTTGCCTCTTGTAAACTCTTATAGCACTTGATCTCAAGGCCATGATAGAAACATCGAGGTAAAATTGATCAACTATCTGTTGTTCTTTCTAGTATGAAGATGTTGCCTTTATTATCTCTTCCTATCCGCATCGTGTCATCTACATATCTGTATCATCTGTATCAAGGATCAACAGTACACTTTCAACATTGACCTTTGGTGCCAAAAGATCAGATATTGGATAGTGTCATTTAAGCAGATAAATCAACAAAGGATACGTGATCTCCAGCCAACCTTCTGGATTGAATATGCCGAGTAAAAGATCATAATTTTTCTTGAACAAATTCATCAGCTTGAGTTTTTGTCAATCATATCAGGGGAAAAAAATCACAATTGAGTTAGTTTATCACCATCTCAAATTTGTACAACTACAGTCTACAGAGCAGTAGACGATGTGCATACCTTTTCTGGGGTGATCTGTGAATTGTCATACTTGATACTTACTCTCTGTACATAACAAAAAGAAGCTCAATATATTCATACACACCAAATTACAATTGTCACTTCAGAGTTCAGACAGATTAGTAAATTTATTAGAGAGTTCAAGGAGATGTGGAGGCTTACCGATGGTGAGACAACACTGAAAGAGGCCTGAACTGTCAACTGACCATTTAGCAGAATCAGTCCTCTTGCACTGAACTTGATTATGTTGACTGCTTTGCCCTCCATTATTTTGGCATCAACACAAAATCAATAGCTTTATAAATGTTTCATAGGCAAACACAGTAATTATTCAACAAAGAAAAAGTAATCCTATAAGTTATAAGACCTCTAGTTAGCACTGAACTAGTTTATGCCAAAATTCAGATAACACCCCTAGATAATCCACAATCTTCAATTATAGATTCCTCAAAAACTTGTCATTTTTACGATTCTTGCTTCCAAACGTTAAACCCTTACACCTATTATTGTGCAATACTGCAATCCATGATATGCAAGATAAACTTTGGCTCATTATCGGAGTTAAACCAAGCTAAACAAAACACAACCAACTATCCAAGTCAATGAGACATTTGTGTAGCGGGGTTGTTCGTGGTCAAGTGCAAGCATTCCAATCCCTCGAAATAGATATAGGTTGCTTTCATATAACATGTCTTCCCAAAAATACCTCAAAACGAAAGACAGTAAGATTAAGAGGTTAACTAATCCCTGAAACCCTGCTTAAATTAGAATATGTAACATATTTTACAGGATTCCTGAAGGCTAATTAGTTATCCCCTTTCTTTGAAAGTTTTTTCTCCTAAAATTAGATAGCATCAACAATCAATTCATGCCTAAAACATGATAAATTACTTGCCATTTGTATAAAAGAGTAAGTCTGTAATAATTGATAAGGTTTCTAAAATAAGAAAGTAGCCATACCTCAGCAATATCAATGATCTGTAAAAAATCCCCCAAATTGATAAAATCTCTGAGTCCAAGCTTAGTTCTTTTTGAACCCAATATAGTAATTGTACTATATATAAGCTTCCAGCATCCACTAACCTTTCCAATTACAGAAACAAAAACAAAGATTTAAAAAATAATTAATAATGATCAACTCAGTATAAAACAAGTCAATTACATAGAAATTATACCCAAAAACTTTGCTCTACCTTATCTAAAGTGTGTGTTGGATTGGGTGTTGGGTTATTAGCTTCAAGTTCCATCACCAAATCCTCAATTTCTCTCTTCTTGTCAGATGTAACCCCAAAAACACCTCTATTGGTACCTATACACACATGCACAATATATGTCAATAACAAGCTCAATTAGTTTAATATTTTAGGGTGTGGCAACCAGTATCGAATCTTGTCTACATCACTGCCCTTAACGCCTTCTAGTACATCAAAATACATACATTACACACAAACAATAAATACCCATTTGCCAAGATTGACTTTTTATATCTAGCAAATCAAAACCCACTAAAAACACATTTTTTTTATAAAAAAAATGAATCTTTAAAGAATAAAAAGAAAATGTACCTTCAATAGAGTTATAAATACTTGATTTAGTAAGAGAATTAATGTCTTCATTATTGAGAAGCAAATCTGAGCTGTGTTCTTCAGTAGTACAATCAACTCTAAGTGTAAACCCAGAAGATAAATAATGCTTAAATTTTGTACAGTTGAGTTTCGAATTTGGAAGTGAGAATGATGAAGTAAGTGGGATTTTGATTTGGGATAATTGTGGAAATGAATGTGAAGCAGGGATTATTGGTGGTTGCATAAGCTTAGTGGCCATTGAAGGAAGGATAAAAAAAAAAAATCATTCAAAATTATTGGGTGGACGCACATATTAAAGGGTATAATGGGGTATTTAATGTAGTACGGTTGGGGTAGTTTCGGTAATTCATGTCTTTTGACTCTAATGCCATCGTTTAATTAGTGAAATAATTAATTGATTAACAAAGTTTTTTTTTTTTTTATTTTTTTTTTTTTACAAAAGTTTAGATATATAATTCATGTAAACTAATACGGAGTAATATTCTTTATAAGTACCCGGTTGAACATAAAAAATAACAATTTTTGCTTACTACTGAATGCACAAAAATACTCTTATTCACTCCTCTTTTGACCTTTGTCCGTTAGGAAAATCATATTTATTTACATTCATTTATCAATTTTTTGAAATTTTAACTGCAATATAGGGTATTTGCAAAATTACTCATTGATTTATAGAAGGGTATTTGCAACATTACTCATTAATTATAATTTCAAACTAATCAACTGCTAGACACCTAGAGTAATAGCAAGCAGCAACTCTTGTACTCTGTAGCATTTTCCTTTTTTGAACAAGAACTTCTCTGTGTATGTAACCCTCAAATTCTCAATTGATAGCACAGAAAACTTTTTAAAAAGTGGACTGGATTTTTTATTATTATTATTTATTTATTTTTTTGAGAAAAAATGGCCGGGAATATTATGCATAAAAATATAGTTTCTATTCAGATCAGGCTCCTCAAAGCCAAAGAAAATCTGTAGCAATGAGACACTGAAACCAGACATTTAATATATCTGAATTAAATCACTTCTTGATTTGGTAAATGTGAACTGCACTGGATAACTCAAATGTCCTCTCGTTTGAGAACTTATATTTACAGAATTTACATTTCCTTTCGAAAGAATAATATACCTTTGTCCTACAAAATTTGAGACTCAGCATACCTCAGAAAAATTCATTCCAAATGATGAAGCATACCTCACAAAAATTCATTGATGATGAACACGGGCCTCCGCCCAATGCTTGCCTACAAAATCCACAAGCTTTTTACCTGAAATTCTACACTCAAGATGTATACTACTAAGTTGCCTAATGAATAGGGATAGATTTCTTCCGTGCCAATTAACCTGGATTCCAAACCATATGGCCTCTAGAAGACAGCAAACCAAAATCGCACATAATCTACAAAATTTTAACAATCCTTGCCATGTCCACCTTCATTTCCATATACTAACAGAATTCACTCCTTTCTGCATCACAGATAACCAGGGATTTCGGAAACGTTAAGCAAGCTTATTGCATCAATACAATAACAATTACCAACTTTCTTCTGCATCAAAATTCACTATCTCCTTCATTATCCCTTCTACATCAATGGGAGATATGCCCCACCGTGCCCTTTTCTCAGCACAAGTGGTCCAGCATTGTCAGGAACCTTGTCCAATGTCTTGTTACATGCATCAACCACATCGATAAACCCAGTTGCAATGGAAGCCATCTGCAAACGGAACCTCAAATCTCTTGTTCTTTTTAGCAAACAGCGAAATGACCTCCCCAAATACTTGGCCCATTCAGCTGGTAAACCTCCTCCTGTGAGCCAGACTGAAAAATGGGATTGATCTACCCTTGCTACCATCTCCGCTCTGTAAAATTTCGCCAATTCAACGAGCACAGAATTCTGGAGAGGAAGCACAGCCACAAATTCAGCCACAAATTGCTCTACAACTTCTGGTTTAAGCATCTGGGTCCACAACACCGGTGTCCATTCACTAGGTTGATTAATTTTATAAGCTTCAGCCACAATCAATGCTTCCTGGAAACGTGTCTGCTCAACCAGTAACCTGCGAGCACTGGTCTCAGACAGATTCAACCACTGGATATCAGGCATACGAATTTGAAGGGATACGAGGGAAGCCTGTGCACAAGCAGAACGCGTTTTATTGCCAGCATCAATAGAAGAGTGAACCTCTGCAGCTTCAATGTAAAAGTGCATTGATACAAGGAGATCTTCATTGTGGTCCTTGTCAGGGCGCAGGTGCCACCGCTGATAAGACTGTTCAGCTCGTGACTCAAGTAAAGAAGCTGTTTCGTGCTTCAAGTCAAAGTGTTTATAAACCTACCACAAAATCACGACATAAGCATTATCACAAACAGAAACAGTTAGCAGGAGGAACTGTAAACAAGAGGGGAAAAAACAAACCATGGCTAAATCATCATGATCGTTGGGGTTAAAATGCTTTAGTGCTGTAACAACAGCCATGCGAAATCCTCGGACAGTTTCAGCAACAGCACTGTTTGCATCAGCAGCTGCAGAATACTTTTGAAGAAGAAGATCCAGTTGTTTATTTTCAATAAGAATGCCAAGTATAAAATTCAGTCCATGGAAGTTCCCCACTCCAGTAATAAGACGAGCCAAGCAAGAAAAGTCACCCTCAGAAACATAAGCCTCAACCCTTGTTGCCGCAAGGGCTACGAGAACATCGACCCCGTCAAGACAAGCTGATGACTGGTAGAAGTGGTGCGACAGAATAAGAAGTTCAACCTAAAACATCAATTACAAAGAATAAGCTTTAGCAGACACGATATATTATCATAGGCAAAAAGGAAACATTATGAGATAGGATTACAGGAATCAAGACCAAACACATTGAGGAGGCACATTTAGTACTGCAAACTAAAATCAAGCTGTAGGCGGTAGGCCTGTAGCATATAAGGGGAGTGAAAATTAATCTTTCTAACACTACATAAAGTAGGAACACGTATTTTATTGACATTTCAGTTTTCCTTTCAATACTACAGAGAATGCAATAAATACAATGCTATCCTCATTTTATTTGAAGTGAACTGAAAATGATACATACTTCCTCAGTTTCTATTTAGTTGACATGTTTATTTAGTCATGTTTGTCAACGCACAAATTCAATTATTAATATCTTTAATTACCGATAAGCAAAAATTATGAAAAATTGATATTTTGAAAATATATATCGTGGCGAATCTAACAAGATCTCACGTGACTATATTTTTCTTTACGTATAAAGCACAAAATACGGTCAAAGGGGAGTGTATGAATAGTGCTAAAGTCAAAACATGTCAACTAAAAAAACGGAGGTAGTATAATATTTTCTCCCTTTAATGTTCATTAAAAAGGATAGCATAATATTTAAGTTATAACTATTCCAAATTTGACCCATCTCAACACATACATTATATTCCACCCATCTTAAACAAATCCTGCATTTTAAATCAGTAATGATTTGAACTGAGATATGCTCAATACCTTAGTCTCAAACACTAGGCAAAATAGAGACAATTTATTCACTATTCCACCCAGTGACCCAGATATAAATCCCGCATATTAAATCAGTAATGATCCCAAGTTTTGACGGTACCTTATAAAAACTCAAAAGTAAAATCTTTCCAAAAATTAAAGCATACAACAGACCAAACAGCAAACACCTTACCTCACAGGCATGCGGAATTTCTTGACCCGTAATAACTAATCGCATTAATGCGTGCCCTATCTCTTGTTCCGAGGGACACAAATCAGCCCACTTCAAAAAGTCTGAAAACCGCCACAACAAAGGAGCAGGCCCTTCCTCCTTTTGAGAATCAATGTATCCACCACGATGTGCTGCTAATAAACCCTAAGACAAATATATGAAACAGTAATGGACATTGTTATCTCCTGTCTCGAAATGGTAGACCACATTTGAAATTTAAATTCAATGCTTGCTAATGTCATTAAATCTGAAATAAATAACATTGACTAGTTTTTTTTTTGTACATTTAACCTATAGGTAATGTGATCAACATATCTCAACACCAATGGTCAAAATTAGCAAATTTTTAGCACAAAACCAAGTGTACACGTGTATTCTATCATTTGGGATAAAAGAAGTCAAGAAGTATATGGCTTCATCATATCTTATTCCACCTAAAAAGTATAACAATGTATATTTTTTCCAAAATCAAGAATACATTAATTGATGAAAACTCAATGAAAAATTTATGCCAAAGTAACAACGAATTCTATGTTTTTTATTTAAGTTTGGAACATGATACATCCTAAAATTCACAGAAAAAATACCATAAATTTGTTAAAATCTACCAAACATTTTGAAAACACACCAATAGCCCATCCCAAACAAAATTTAACATTTTCCAATTCCTTTAATAATTATATACAAACTACTGAGCTTAATTCTTTCAAATTTATATTATGATTACAAAAAGAGGGGGGGGGGGGGAGGAGTTCTAATAGTAATTAGATTCTTAGAAACCCTTTCCTCAGTCTCCCAGAATACCTAAAGATAAAGCTTACAAAAACCTCGGACATGCTTCTATTGTAATCCGTCCATTAGTTTCTATTCCTCCCATTTAGAATCTACCATTTTAAGAGAGAAATTTAGATCATGAGTATTCATCCATTCATTCAAGGAAAAAAAAAACTCATGTGTGACTGTGCTAGATTTGTCTTGGCGTTTGTTTAACAATACATCCATTTGTATAGGAAAAAAAATACTCATGAGGGACTTTCTATAATTTTTTAATAACATGTAGTTGAATATATAAGAGCTCAAATGAGTGTACTGAAATTTTTTCAAAAGAGGCAAATGGAACAAGCAAAAAGGAACATTGGGACCTTGGGAGTAATATTTTGTTTGATAACCTTCCAATCTTCATTAATTATTACCAGAGTAGTTAGGGCCTATTCTGATCTACTAAACTGAACTGATTGGAGCTCAGCCGAACTGAATATTTTATGAGGGAAGGAAATTAGGAACTGAACTGAAATGAATATTTTAAGAGAGAAGGAAATTAGGAACTAAACTGAACTGATTGGAGCTGAACTAAACCGAACTGAACAAGCCCTTAGACATATTCATCTTGCAATCAGATTAGTATTTAGTGTCTACAAAAATTTGACTGCCTTATGTTCATAATATTCAAAAAAGTAAACTTAAAGAGTGCTTGAACCCCAAATATAAAATAAAACGGAGCGCTTGGTTTATTTAGCTAACACATGTTTTCTTCATTTTAAAAATATAAAATAAAAAATCCTGTGTGAAAGCATATAAAACAAGCTACTCAAACATTAGCCAAATGAATATATATATATAATGACAAGAAAAATATACATACATATATATACATACCAATAATGCAAGAAATCATAACATATACCTTCAAGAAGGATTCTGCCAAAATTTTTGCAATACTTGTAGCTGGTATAGAATGAGACTGTACCAAAAGTCTTGCTTCGTCAAAAGAATCTTGTGCTTTAAGAGAAAGCAACTGTAACAAATCAGTTGGCTGCTTCTCAAAGGCTTCCGCAAATGAAACACCCAAGACATTAGCAGCCTTCAAAACAGCAGAGATTCTCTTGCAAAGTCCACGTCCACTACCTTCAGTCAATATGTCAGATAAACTCTCTAGCACCTATCATTTCAAAAAAAAAAAAAGAGCAAAATCATTTTTCAGATGCAAGAAGCTATGAATTATAAACCCCCAAAA